CTCGCGGGGTTCCCTGTCACAAACTACTCCTTCAAAAGCGCTCGCGGGGTTCCTTGTCACAAACTATCCTTCAAAAAGCGCTCGCGGGGTTCCTTGCACAAACTACTCCTTCAAAAAACGCTCGTGGGGTTCCTTGTGACAAACTACTCCTTCAAAAAGCGCTCGCGGGGTTCCTTGTCACAAACTACTCCTTCAAAAAGCGCTCGTGGGGTTCCTTGTCACAAACTACTCCTTCAAAAAGCACTCGCAGGGTTCCTTGTCACAAACTACTCCTTCAAAAAAGCGCTCGTGGGGTTCCTTGTCATATATTACTCATCAAAAAGCGCTCGCGGGTTTCCTTGTCACAAACTGCTCCTTCAAAAAGCGCACGCTGGGTTCCTTGTCACAAATTACTCCTTCAAAAAGCGCTCGCGGGGTTCCTTGTCACAAACTACTCCTTCAAAAAGCGCTCGTGGGGTTCCTTGTCACAAACTACTCCTTCAAAAAGCGCTCGCGGGGTTCGGTGTCACAAACTGCTCCTTCAAAAAGCGCTCGCGGGGTTCCTTGTCACAAACTACTCCTTCAAAAAGCGCTCGCAGGGTTCCTTGTCACAAACTACTCCTTCAAAAAGCGCTCGTGGGGTTTCCTTGTCACAAACTACTCCTTCAAAAGGCGCTTGTGGGGTTCCTTGTCACAAACTACTCCTTCAAAAAGCGCTCGCGGGGTTCCTTGTCACAAACTAGTCCTTCAAAAAGCGCTCGCGGGATTCCGTGTCACAAACTACTCCTTCAAAAAGCGCTCGTGGGGTTCTGTGTCACAAATTACTCCTTCAAAAAGCGCTCGCGGGGTTCCTTGTCATAAACTACTCCTTCAAAAAGCGCTCGAGGGGTTCCTTGTCACAAACTACTCCTTCAAAAAGCGCTCGCGGTGTTCCTTGTCACAAACTACTCCTTCAAATAGCGCTCGGGGGGTTTTTTGTCAGAAACTACTCCTTCAAAAAATGCTCGTGGGGTTCCGTGTCACAAACTACTCCTTTAAAAAGCACTCGCGGGGTTCCTTTTTACAAACTACTTCTTCAAAAAGCGCTCGCGGGGTTCTTTGTCACAAACTACTTTTTCAAAAAGCGCTCGTGGGGTTCCTTGTCACAAACTACTCCTTCAAAAAGCGCTCGCGGGGTTCCTTGTTACAAACTACTTCTTCAAAAAGCGCTCGCGGGGTTCTTTGTCACAAACTACTCCTTCTAAAAGCGCTCGCGGGGTTCCTTGTCACAAACTACTTTTTCAAAAAGCGCTCGTGGGGTTCCTTGTCACAAACTACTCCTTCAAAAAGCGCTCGCGGGGTTCCTTGTCACAAACTACTCCTTCAAAAAGCGCTCGCGGGATTCCTTGTCACAAACTACTTCTTAAAAAAGCGCTCGTGGGGTTCCGCGTCACAAACTACTCCTTCAAAAAGCGCTTGCGGGTTTCCTTGTCACAAACTACTCCTTCAAAAAGCACTCGCAGGGTTCCTTGTCACAAACTACTCCTTCAAAAAGCGCTCGCGGGGTTCCTTGTCACAAACTACTCCTTAAAATAGCGCTTGCGGGGTTTTTTGTCACAAACTACTCCTTCAAAAAGCGCTCGTGGGGTTCCGTGTCACAAACTACTCCATCAAAAAGCGCTCGCGGGGTTCCCTGTCACAAACTACTCCTTCAAAAAGCGCTCGCGGAGTTCCTTGTCACAAACTACTTTTTCAAAAAGCGCTCGCGGGGTACCTTGTCACAAACTAATCCTTAAAATAGCGCTTGCGGGGTTTTTTGTCACAAACTACTCCTTCAAAAAGCGCTCGTGGGGTTCCGTGTAACAAACTACTCCATCAAAAAGCGCTCGCGGGGTTCCTTGTCACAAACTACTCCTTCAAAAAGCGCTCGCGGGATTCCTTGTCACAAACTACTCCTTAAAAAAGCGCTCGTGGGGTTCCGCGTCACAAACTACTCCTTCAAAAAGCGCTTGCGGGTTTCCTTGTCACAAACTACTCCTTCAAAAAGCACTCGCAGGGTTCCTTGTCACAAACTACTCCTTCAAAAAGCGCTCGCGGGGTTCCTTGTCACAAACTACTCCTTAAAATAGCGCTTGCGGGGTTTTTTGTCACAAACTACTCCTTCAAAAAGCGCTCGTGGGGTTCCGTGTCACAAACTACTCCATCAAAAAGCGCTCGCGGGTTCCTTGTCACAAACTACTCCTTCAAAAAGCGCTCGCAGAGTTCCTTGTCACAAACTACTTTTTCAAAAAGCGCTCGCGGGGTTCCTTGTCACAAACTACTCCTTAAAATAGCGCTTGCGGGGTTTTTTGTCACAAACTACTCCTTCAAAAAGCGCTCGTGGGGTTCATTGTCACAAACTACTTTTTCAAAAAGCGCTCGTGGGGTTCCTTGTCACAAACTATTCCTTCAAAAAGCGCTCGCGGGGTTCCTTGTCACAAACTACTCCTTCAAAAAGCGCTCGCGGGGTTCTTTGTCACAAACTACTCCTTCAAAAAGCGCTCGCGGGGTTCTTTGTCACAAACTACTCCTTCAAAATGCGCTCGCGGGGTTCCTTGTCACAAACTACTTTTTCAAAAAGCGCTCGTAGGGTTACTTGTCACAAACTACTCCTTCAAAAAGCGCTCGCGGGGTTCCTTGTCACAAATTACTCCTTGAAAAAGCGCTCGTGGGGTTTCCGCGTCACAAACTACTCCTTCAAAAAGCGCTCGCGGGGTTCCTTGTCACAAACTACTCCTTCAAAAAGCACTCGCGGGGTTCTTTGTCACAAACTACTCCTTCAAAAAGCGCTCGCGGGGTTCCTTGTCACAAACTACTCCTTCAAAAAGCGCTCGCGGGGCTCCTTGTCGCAAACTATTCCTTCAAAAAGCGCTCGCGGGGCTCCGTGTCACAACCTTAGCGTTTCCGTTATTGAGGTACTCCTCAAAAAATAAAGGAAAACTGGTGCCATATAGACCCAATAATAGCAATTGGGAGTTATCTCTTCGAAATCCAGTGAAATGACATTCATAAGCGTTTTAGAGGTCGAGAGTCTTACGAGTTTGCTATGAGACAATACGTCGTGCCGTAACATCCAGTTTGCCAGCAGAAAGTCTACTTCAATTGGAGAAACCGCATTTTAAGTTTCAGACTTTATTCGTTCATCTATGTAATTTAAATGTATACTGTATTTCATATCACCGTTGCAAAAAATATGACATTTGGAGTTCGGATAACAACTTGCTACTTCTAGAGCAATTAATTTCAAATTATGTACGCTAATCGATAAAAAAAATCAATTTCGCCGCGCAAAAAGCGGACGTTTTACAACCCAGCAGCTAAGTACCGATGGTTTATTGAAAATGATGCAAAAAATTAGAAACTTGTCTACGTCATTCCCGTTTTCTAAAACAGGAATTAGCTTTCAATGTTTTTTAAGGTTTTTTTTCGAAAAATTTATAGAGCTCACGCCATCGAGTAAGTGCCTGAAAGCGTTCTTCTAGATGAAATTCCGATTGAGTAGATTCCTTTTTTTTCAGATGCGTGTTAGAAAAACCATGCTTAATTTAAAATGTTGTTGGATGTTTGCACAATCGGTTATTTGCAGTGAACCTTGCAAGAAACGTAGACAAAGTTGAATGTAATATCAGTTAATTTTTGACTCATGTTCATGCATAGATACTCGAAAAAACCTCCAAAACCTCACAATTTTTTATGACGAGAGACTTCCCTTGTGAATTAAAACTTCCCCTTAAATGTCAACCGGAGTTATAGCTCATGGGAGGAATATCAAAGGGCCCAATTTATGTTCTGTTTGCAAAATACTTATCCGTATTTCATGAATCTTAAAAAAAACTTCCAATTCTGTCAGTGATTGTTTCAAAAATTTTAAACTGTTGCTTATAAGATTTTGAAAGTTGCAACTGAGAAAGGCTTTCGATTATTTCGACGTTTTCTGCTATTCGCTCCTTCTGCCCTGCGAATAGCCCCAATATAGCCGCTGCCATGGCAAAGATAGTGTGTTAAGACGAGCTCTCACTTGACCTCTAGCTTCAGGTCTACCACACATTGGCCGATTTCGGCTGCAAAAGTGGACCACCTTAAAAACTAAGGCGCGAAAAAGCGGCCGTGTGTCGAACAACAAAAGGCTTTGATCAACAAAAGTACTCAGTCTGGAATGTTATTATTATTTTTATTATTACTATTAATAGTATTATGATTATTATGATTGTTTTAATGATTATTATGATTATTGTTATGATTATTTTTATGTTTATTATGATTATTATGACTGTTATTACTATTATTAATAGTATTATAATGTTTATTATTCCAACCATTAAAAATGGGGAGAAACTTTGCATTCGGATGTTTTAGTTATTTTTTCTTTTTTTTTTGTTTTCCACGCAAAATCAGCTACCAAAAGTAACCATCGGAGTAAGTTGAGTGATATGTCAAACGAAAGCTCGGTTAAACCAAGAAACTTTCCCAGTGTCGAGAAAAGCCGGTATGAATATTTTGATTTTTCGTCTAATTTTGAGTAAAAAAAAAGTGAGCGAGCAGGCTTACAGTAGCTTATTTATGCTTAATTTAAGCCGTACAAACTTAGTTTTACTCAAAAAAACTATTTTTTGGATGGTTTTGGCGCAATTTTGAGAATAAAAGTTTCTATTATTGAAAAAAATTCTGCAAAATCCATTTTTCTGATTTGAATTTAAAAACATCTAAAATTTTTTTTCATTTATTTTTTGTTTATCTAGTCATTTTTTCCACGCACTGTTGTCCAATTTGGTTATTTTAATATTTTAATATTTTCTAGTTTTTGTTCAGATTTTTAAATCGCATCACAGAGAAACTACATTAATTTGAAAAAACAAAAAACATTTTTTTGTATTATTCAAGACTATTGTCGAAAAATTCTGTGCTATTTGCACAGTAACCGTCTAACCTGGTTAGTATAATTGATATAATACGTACACAGTTCACTGCAGTTTTATTTGTTCTCAAAATCTTCCTCATTGTAGATTTCGCCGAGGTTTCATCAACTTCTTCCGGGCACTGGTGTGCAAACGACGTCTTGAAATTGACAGTGTACGAGCGACAGGCGGCAATTCGGGTCACGATATGGGCCGAAGATCACGTGGAGGTCACGGGGCATCGGTACCCAAGAACAGCGGGACATCATCAAGCGCCGCTGCGGTGTCACGGGGAGCCACTGTGTTGTCGAACTCCTGTTACGAACACTCCTCGACAGGTAATTGGCACAAAAGTTTTTTTTAAAAAGTTAATAAAAAAATCATGACAATATCACAGAGGCGATGCCACAAAAATAGCATTGCCAGCTAGCAGAGAGGACAGGAAAGATGAGCCACTAAGTCCAAAGAAAACGGAACAGTTTTCGCAGAAACCACAAACAAAAAATTTCAAAATTTGTCTGGAAAGATGTTCCATCTGCGGAAAACAAATCCAGAAATAACATTCGATGGCGTTTAATAAAAACTCAAAAATACTTTTGGAGCGAAAATAAAATTGTCATGAAAAACTTTGAATTATAAACTCTTTTTTGTGATTTTTAACGTTTTGTGCAATTCGGCGGAAAGCATAAAAACTATGGTTCCCTCTGAGGACTAAAAATTAAGTAAGAAAGCCGATAAAATATATGCCGCAACCATTTAGGCGTAACAAACTTTTAAGCAAAAAAAAACAAAAAAATGAAGTATACCAAGTCAAGGTTAGTAGAATTACAAATTGAAGGAGAAACTGAAAATTTAAAAAGCAACTACAATGAAATCTGCATACAGCAAAACAGTTCTGAGCTGAGCCAATTAAAGCGACAAAACATAAACAGACAAGCAATAAGCCGAACTTTTTTTAAAACGGGAAAATTTCCCATTGAAAAAAAATATGTCCTGGTCAGATTCGAAATAAGTACTTTTTGACGTCCTAGGCGTATTCGTTACCTCCAGAAGTGTGCCGGAGATGCTTAGAAAGTGGAATTCATTATGAGCCAAGATATCAATATTTTAAGCGAATCAGTAGTTAACCCGACAAAAAGTCCATACCCCGATTTGATAAGGCTTGCTAATCGCAAGCGTAATAATCATCATAGCAATCTTAATAATAGTCATAACAATCATGTTAATAATTTTACTATTGATAATAATCATTAAAAAATAATTATAATGATGATTTAACTCGACATTTGGTACTTAAAAAATCAAAAATATTCAGAGCGTTGAAGCCCTCGGAAAAAAAGACATTACCAAGTGTCAATGACATATTCGACGGAAAAAGCCGCGATTTTCATGTTTTTGGTATCTTCTGAAAATCCTGGCAAAAACAATGCCATACGGTAACTTTGTGCAATCGTGTTAACCGTAGAGTTTATAAAGATGGCCCTGTTTACAAAACCTCGCAATGCTTGGTACACACAAATCTTTTTAATTCAGTTCCATCTATGACTAATGCAACACTCAGCATAGCCTGCATAACTGTTTTCACGCTTATTTTTAGTCCAAATCAAATTTCAAATAACGCTCTTTTCATTTGGTTCACTTTGAGGTAGAAAAACGCACGAAACTATGTTCGAACAATTTGGTGTAATTTTAATTTGGAATGCGCCTTGACTACTTGTGTTTTATTAGGGAACTTTGTTTTCCTCAACTGAGGAAGAGCATGGAAAAATGACAAGTGAATGGCAAAGGAAAATTTTAGCCCAAAATTGATGACCATAAAGTCTCAATGCAAAGCTCTACGAGATACTTTCACTCTCAACAAAAATGGAAATACTATGCAAGAACTTCGCTTGTTCGTCTGGAAAAATTATTTAAAACAGACATAGACTAATCAAGCAAACAGAAAAATGACGCGTTGTGAGCATTTAAAAAAAATGTTCGAACGTTTTTGAAGAAAAAAAACATAATTGTTTCCATCAAATTTTGTAACATCAGAAATACATTAAGTTGAGAAACTGATAGAACGTCAGTTGATAGTATTAGACGAATTCTTGATAAAAAATACAACTCAAGGCTATTGAAGTCAGTAGAAGTCAAAAACAATCAAAAATATTGTCTAGTAGGTTAAAATTCTCTCCTAATACTTCCGTCAAGACAATGCTGGGTAGAAGAAAACGTATTCAATGGGTTGTTTTGAAAGCTTTTTTTCCAAAAGAAAGCATCGATGTATATGAAAAGTTTTCTAAAAGACTGATTGCACAATCTTTTGAAAACTTTTTTTTTGTCTAACAGAATTTTCAAAATGTTGGGTTTCAATATATTAATAAATAACCATATTTCTTGCGGCAAAAATTCTATTCCTTAGGTTTTAGAATGAAACGTGGAAATGGAAATCGTATACTGAAGATTTCCAATGCAAAAAAAAACAAATTTTGCAGTCAAAAAATATTTGAGTTGAAAAAAATTGATAGATTGATTTTTTTAGAATCTCATTTTTTATTCGCTATCAGTAAAAACTGTGTGTGACAAGATAATCAGATAACGAAAATGGCGGCCATATTAACAAGTTCCAATAGCTAGCCTTTCACTTTGCAACGGTGCATGAGACAGATTAGATCACCGCTTACACTTCAAAATCACGAAATATATCGCGCGCTAATATCTTTCTAACATTTAGCTCAGGGCGTCAATATCTTTTATTTAATATAAAAAACTCCGTTCAAAAAAACCCAATTAAAAAAATTCAAAACCAGACCACTTTCTTCAGACTAATTTAAAATTTGTCTGAAGGAAGAGAACCACAGTGAGCATAAAATGCAAAAAAAAATACTGAAAAAAAAAACAATATTTTGTTTTCAAACCAATAAAAAGAACAAATAGGTTAATGTTAGTTGAAAAGAGCATCCTGAAGTTTTTAGAAATCTGCTCAAAAAATGAATTTCAATCTATTCGCAACTTCGAAAACAAAGTTTTCACGCGTTTCACTGAAAAAAAGCGGTAAATTAATCAACAAAAAAGCATTCAAAATTTTCTGGTGATGAAACAGACCAAAAAGTCCGATATTACCGAAAATGGCATCAAAATCAAATATGATTGAGGCAGCTCGAAACGATTTAAAAACATGGATCAATCTTTACGTAAGTTAAATAGTTGATTTCGATGAAGGACGCACAATTCTTTTTCAAGGTAAATTAAGCTCAAACTTGAGCTTCATTGCTAATAAGTTACAAATCAAAATTTCCTAATTTGAATTAAAAAAGTCAATATATCTCACTTATCTCAATTTAGACTTTTTTGTTTTCTCATGAAATGCTGCTTTGAAACAAATCAACTCATAACAAAGTATTTTTAATTCATTCAAATGATTTAAGACTGCTTGATGTAGGTCCCCTCCGATCTATGGCAAAGTCATCGGCAGCAACCAATGCTTCTGAAGCCCCGGTATCTTCGGCAACCCATAGGTTCAAGAACTCCTCTTCCCTCACTGTCGATGCTTGTTACTCGTCCACGAAAACGTCCAAGTGCTAAGTCGCTCCTCAATTTATGCATATCTGCACGCTTTTGTTTGGAATTTTTAATTACTACTACTTTCAAATCATTTTGTTAAATGTATATATATTTTCAAATTGAAAGAAAAAAAAATTAAAAACGATGAATTACCTTCAATAGCCAAAAAGACACAATTTAATTGCCATATTTCATCCAAGTCAAGTTTCTAGTTAACAATCTTCCATTTTCGGTAAACTTCTTCGCCAAGTGATTTTTTATTTGACCATAACTTGTGCAGAAACGGACTTAGGGAGGACGGCGAGCCCCCCCCCCCCCTACGATAAATTCCTAGATCTGCCCGACATTGTTCATGCTTGATTATGCTTGGGATGGAATTGAGCAACATGATGAATGATTCATAATTAGTCCTCAAATTATTAAGAGCAATATGTTAACAAGATCTGAAGTCGCAGTAAATTGTTGCTACTATTTATAAATTTTGATATTCCTCGAATTAAAAATCCAATGTATTGTCGCTTGGGAAAACGAGAAAAAATCATTTGTTGTCCGGCTCTTAATAACAATTTTCTGAAGTTGCTTTCACAGTTGTTCAGATCCGAGTGTGTTCCGACCACGGAATTCAATTATTTAAATTAATCAAAATTTTGTACTAATTACTGGGTACAAAATTCTCATATGCTTAGCTTGCATTAGTTCTTTATAGGGGTGGAATTACTTTCCAGGTACCAAAGGGGAGAATAGTTAAGGAGATCTCCTAAAAGATATTGCGACTTAGAATGTATTTGAAACTATCTAGAACCATAATGAATGATTCGTTTCGAACATAAGTTGTATTAAAATTTAAGTAAGTTTGCTTCTCACTCATTCTTTGAATGAAAATTGGTACACTGTCGCAAAGGTTTCAGACCAGTTTTTGTGACACCTTTAAAGCATTTTAGAAAACTAAATAGCAAAATCTGCATCAGTGCGGTAAGCCAGTCATTCAAAAGCGTCTAAACTTTTGGTTCATTTTTTTCAATATATCAGAAAAAATTAAAAAATCAGACATAATTTGCTTGCTGTGGTCGGAATACATGGACAACATACAAATTGAATTAAAAGATATTGATTTCTGACTGTTTTCGTACCATAAAGATTATTTAAATTTTTTGATTTATTAATTTTTATTTACTCAGAAAAATGGAAATACTCAATTACTTAATTCTATTTTCTTCCCAAAAGATGAGTGCAATGTATTGATTTTATAATTTAATTTGTCCTGTCATGAAAAATTTTCAATCAGATCTTTCCGAACTATTACGAAGGCAACTCTCATGACATATTTCGGGCATCTTTAACTTGCGGCAACTTCCAGAGATCTTGACTACTATAAAACTTCTGCTGGCCTCGAATTTTTTCGAAGACGTCTAGTACCAATGTTTCCTTTTGTTCAAGCCTGAACTGTTGAGTTAGGGCTGTGCCTGTTTCCATGAAGCCGTGTTTGTTATATGTCGCGGCTAAAACAAACCAGGTTTGCATGTTCACAGATAGTCTTCCAAGCAAGAAATGGTTGGGTGTATGAGTTTCCGAATCTGTCAAATCTGATGGCACATTTGTCAGGGGGCGAGAGTTCATGATCGCTTCTACTTCGCAGGCGAAGGTTGACGAAGTTTTGTCGTCGAGGGTGCGTGATCCGTTTACATTGTAGAAGGAGTCTTTGTGAACTTTTACCAATGTTTCGCGAGATCCTCCAAAGTGTGGTGCGGCAGGTGGGTTAAAATTGCATTTCAACTCAAGAAGTTCGTTCTGCTGTTGGAACTGTTTCGACTCTTGAAGCTGCTGGAGAAGTTGCTCGAGCTCGCTGTTGGCTTCGAGGAAACATTTCCGTTGTCCGGTTGTATTTGGCCCTGATTTTCACGTCGGGCGATGAAGCGTCGAAGAGCTTGAAAAATGCAGTCAGTGATGATGAAGTGGTAGATTTCAGTATGTACTGCTCGAGTAACTAGGCAGGTGAAGAGCAAAACATATCTTTTGGAGAAAAAAAATCCGTTTTTATTCTTTACGAAGGGTCCTACGAAGTCAGCACCTGTCGCGAGGAAAGTGCTATTGCTGTCCGGTACTGGCAATCTGGCAGGAGGTAAGTCAACTATTAGAGGCGTGATTGGTTCTTGGCGTAGTCGGCAACATGCTAGGCATTTCCGGATAATTCTTCTCAGAATTTTCCTAGAGTTGAGAATCCAAAAGTCCTGTTGTACGATGCTTCGGCTACGATCTAAACCACAATGTCCGTTGCTGTCGTGAATATGCTGCAGAAAGAGGCAAATGGGTTGTTGTTCTGCGTCCATGATTACCGGGTGGTGGCTGGAGTCAAGAATTGTTGCCTTGCAGAGTCGTTCTTTGGTTCGAAGAAAATCATGTTCGTCGAGGAATGGGCAGAGTGTTTGTGGTCGGCTGCGGGCAGGTATTGATGTCTTTTTTCGAAGGCTGTCAATTTGCTTAGGAAGATGTCGATTTGGCAACTCTTCACAATAGAAGCAAATGCATTAGCGAGATCCTGAAATGTGAGCTGGCGGCGTTCTTTTGCTTTAAGGTTCTGTACTGTAGGTTGACAGTCGCTGTCATTTTAGAAATCGTGTCCATGTGCTGAATCGGCTGCAGTCACTTCACTGTTGAGATTAGCTGTCTACTGAGGCCTATGTCGGCTGAGTTTGACTGTCTGTCGTTAGAACATCGGTCGAAAGCTGTAACTTCATTTCTGCGGGCCGATCTAATGAAGATTTTGAAACGAAGGCTGGTCCATTGATCCCTCGGGAATTAGCTGTCATGTTGCATGCTTTGTAATCACGTGTTAAATCGTTCGCAGGGTTGTCTTTGCTGGGTACATATCTCCAATCTTGTTGCGATGTCGAGTCCAAGATGAAGTTCAAGATGAGGCGGTTGGCAATAAAGAAGTAGTGGCGCTGATTTGAAGAATTGATCCAACGTTAAACGGTCGTACTGTATGTCCAGAGTGTTGTGTTGCCAATCTTGACGTCGTGCTGTCTTTTGACAAATCGTGCGAGTTCGGCTCGATTTGTCGCCGCTTGTACTTCCAAATTCGGTCATCCTTTTGATGGGGACTACTCGTGTTTTTCCGATGATGAACTTTACCTCCAATGTATTTTCGGCGGCGTGGGTGATCCTGAAGTCAGCAACTGATGCAAGGGCAAGCTCAGAGGCGTCGTTAAAGATATGAAGTTGCATGTCACGAATATTTTTTTCGTGCTGAAGTAATTCCGTGGCTGGCAAAAGTCGTTCAACTAATTGCGTTCGTCAATCTATTCGTTGAGATTTTTCAGAGGGACCTGGTTGAGGGATTTGTCCCACTGAGGCCCAGTAGTCCAGGCAAGTTGAAATGATTTTCTAAGTCGAATCGTCAATGGCATGCTTATTCCAAATGTGTCGAAAATTGAAGAAACAATCTTCAGTAGTTTGCGCTGGATAAGGTCCTTTTCGTCAATCGTCTCAAAATTTAGTACCCGGCATACTTTTCCAGGCTTGTTGACATTTGTTACTGGGTGATGAGGCAAATACCATTTTCCTGTCGCGTTGACCGGGGGGTCGTCTACTTCGATGATGAATCCTTTTTGAAGATCCGTGTCGATTGTTTCCTGGTACATGGCTTCCATGCTGGGTTTCTTCGTAGTCGCTGTAGAAGGCTGTCGATTTGCTTATTGGCAAGCCATCGGATGTTGGGCAAATGTCGATCGCGTTTCCAAAGCATTCCAACTTCTTAGTGTCCATTGGGTAGGCGGTGGTCTAAGATGTCCAGTGTTTCATGTCGTCTGCAGAGAGGCTCCGCCGGCGTCCATCTTCATCCATTCGGCCACATGTCGAAATAGCAAATCGTCCGATCTGAAGTGAATGGTTTTGGCATCGTTAGGCTAAGCTGCATTGTCTCTTCCGCAAAGAGGACCATCCAAGAGACCAAGCGTTTTACATCCAATCGGTACATTCTGTTTTGATGAGATGGATTCCGTTCGTGTCACTAGTTCGGCGACGTCGCATCCTACGATAAGTCCAATTTGCTTTAAAGACAATGTTGCAATGCGGATATGTTGACGTTGTTGATTCTTTTGTAAAATGGAATTAACAACTTCAGGGTCAACATCTAAGAGATTCCAATCTAATATGACTTTAATGTCATTAAGTTGAAAAGGCTGCTATCGATGTTTGTAGCTTCCAATTGCAAAGGTTAATTTGGCAGAGGCTGTGTCGGATAAAGCCAAAGATTGATAAAGCTGAATACTGTCGACGAAACTGAGATCTGGTTTCAATTGAGGGACGATGGATGATTTTAGCAAGGTGAGTTTGCTAGCGCAGTCAAGCATTGCATAGGCATGTACTACGTGATTGCCATAAGAGATCATTACTGGCAATGTCGGAATGTGGTGAGTCGTTTTCCATGTTTTTTGTTTTTGTGCTGGAGCTGCAATTCGTTGCATCATGTCGTATAGCCTTCCTAACTGTAGTGTCCTTGCGTCCTGTCGAGGTCCATGAATTGTAGTTGTTACTGTTATGTAGTAGAGTGTGGTGTTTCTTGTTGCATCCATCTCTCCTACAGGTCTGAGTTTACTGACAGTAGGCAAACTTGATGGGGCTGAGGCAAATAAAGCAGAGTTGTAGATCTCTGGCATGCTGTAGTCAGTCCTTGATTTTCATGGCTATGAAAGGCTGGCACTTTCCGAACTAGGGGTATCTGCCTTTTTCTAGGCAAAAATCTCTTCGTGGCTCCTTTTGTCCTGGGTGATGTTGTTGTATGCATTGAACATTCGGGATTTTATTTTGATTGATAGGTCAGCTGGCAGAAAATGCTTGTTGATTGCTGCTGCGCAGGTTGCCGCAGGCTTCGGCGTAGACGTTGAACCATAAGCTCAATTCAATGAGCGAAGGCTTTCGCAGGTTTTGTTGAAAGTTGTAGCAATTCCATTCCAGTCGGCAAGGCGTCGGCAGTTTTCCCAGTACTGTCAAAACATTCGTTGTAGTATGGAGATCGTGGTGGAGTCCAAGCGTTGTGAGGGTGTCAACCATTGTCTGTAGGAAGTTAGCGAGACCCTTGTAGCTTCTGTTGCGTCGTAGAGTTGGGCTGCTGATGTTGTCCAGTAGTCGAAAGAAGGAAGTTATTATTTTCGTCGGGTTTCCAAAGTCATTTTATAGGCGTTCGAGTGCTGAG